GTGTTTACCCATGCTAGGCATATTATTGAATATGATTTCAAACCAATAATGCCAATAAATTCTCGAATTTCCCACAAATGCTCTACCACCCCCACACATAAATAAACCAAATCAAAAGCCAATGCTCTACAACTTCAATATTGTTTTATAAGTATAGAGCGGATTGTGGTGAATGCGTAAAATGCAACATACGTATAGAAGAGAAGCATAAATAACTTTGACATTGTTTTCGCATTGAAATCTGTGCACGGCTTTTGCTTCAATAAACAACATTGGCATTGCCTCTCAACAAAATGTGAGTTGTTCTTATAAGTTCTCGAGTTTTGCATTGAAAATAGTTGCATTCGGTTGTGTCTGCATTTCAATTCCAATAGTTGAATTACAAAAGTTTTTCAATTTCATATTTCAGCTCGGTGTATGACAATTTGTGGAATACTACAAATATACGTGTACATATGTATAGTACAAGAATATGTGCAATAGCATCAATAGGTGAAAATGCTTACGAGAAATTGTCAAATAATTTCATGTAAAGTGGTCTGTTGTGTGTCCTGTATCCGTAATATTTTCTTTTTCGACACAACTTTCATAATAAAATTTGTAAAATATAATTTAATGACAATGCAAAACTGTAGCTTTGCGTATCGCAGAACTCTGTAAAATTTTCGCTGCTTCTATTGCTTCTACTGCACACAATTTTCAGCTTCAGTCAAGTTGTTCAGCTGCCGCTGCCGTTGTCGTTGTCGTTGTCGTTGTTGCCTGGCAGCCAACGTGCACACTCAAAATATTTTCATAATTTTTATCACGATTGTAATTCTCGCAGAAAGTTTTGCATTCAAAAAGTTTGGTAACTTTCTCACAGCAAAACACGAGCACGATAGACGATGCTCTGACAGCGGGACAGGAGCACTGAAGGATAAAAGGGCTGGCGGTGGAGACATTAAGGCTTGCCAGCCAGCCTGCCTGACTGCCTGACTGCCTGCCTGCCTGCCGAAAGTTTTAATGCTGACAATGAGCTCACAACAGATTTCTGAGTTAATTTCAGTTTTTTGGCCAAACTTTCTATCTTCTTTTTTTGTTGTTGGTGCTGTTGAGGGTTGAGGACAATAACAATTGTAATAACAATTTGAAATGCACATTGCACGCACTGTTAAATAAGTGTAATTATTTTAGTTATCATTTTTATGCTTTCGGGCTCTGCGAACATTCTGCCACAACAACAAGGCGATGCCACGGTTTTGCCCATATGGTCCACTCATATGAGTTTATTTCGTTTAATTAAATCTTTAGTGCTTTTTTGTTTCTATATTAGAGCCTGCGTAGTTATAGAAAATTCCATTGCTTTTTATTATTTCTTTTAGAATAAATCCTGTAATTAACAAGAAATGACACTTCTATGCATTTGTATTGTATTGTTTGGCTGTGAAATATCCCTGATGTTTGCAAGAGAGTTTTTAAGATATTTCTACTGAACGACCCTTTTTTGATTCAGTATATTTATTCAGAAGTATTTTACATAAATACGGTAGGGCTTAGAAATAAAAAGCTCATAGTTTAATTGCATTCTAGCGGCCGTTGAAAAATTTGAAAAACTTAACTTACTATAAGTCTAAAAACTTTTTGTTTGAGTTAGAAGGTGAGGAATAAAACTTTATTCGGATTTTTTAAAGACATCAGCCTGAATGTTTGATAAGCTCACTGCTCTCAATTTTTACTGCCATGCTGCTTATCAATGTCAAGCTGAAATGGATCTTGTTGACAGGCAAACAATGCCATTAATCAACTTGTCTCAAGGTGCACTAGTTTGGGCGCCCAAGACACGGCTAACCGAAAGAAAACGTACGAAAAACATTGCGGAAATTCCCAAGTCAAGCTGTGCACATGTCACACACAAACTGTACACACACACCCACATACACACACACCCACATAAACACACACACAAACACTTTTGAAATCTACCACATGAGGCGACAGATTTTCAGTCACAAAGGCACCGAAGAAAACAAAACAGAAGCCGCCACAGAAAACAATGCGCTCTCATGTGCTGACAGCGATAAATTCTAATGCAGGGTCGCAAGGGCCAACTGAACGCCCCCGAATGTGTGGTGGGTGTGGCACAGTGGCGGGCACGCCTGCACGCCTTCAAGCTCCCGGCACACCACCATGAAAAACTGACCAAAGCATGAAAAATGCTGCTTCCGTTTGGCAGCAAAAAATACCGAAAGAAATGAAGGAAGCGATGTGAAGTGGTTGGCGTTTGGTTTGTTTGCAAAAGGAAATATTTTTAGCACGTGTTTGCGTACACTATATTTTATTGGTAAGCTTGTGTGTGTGTGTGTGTGTGTGTGTGTGTGCTTGTCCGGCCACATTTGTCACTTTAAATACAATTTGACTTGTACAAGAATCAGAGTTTCTAAATGCGCGCGTTCCGTTTGCGGATACGGATACACTTTGCTGCAATTTGTCTTGTCCTGTTGGCGCAGAGAAAAAAGTGCTGCGTGCTTTTGGGACCGTTTAGGAAAGTTTCCAACCCAAAATCAATAGGTTGGCGTCAATTTCAAATTCTACTTGCAATATTTATTGTCGACAAAAGCCAATTCGATTCTGCATAAGCTCTGCTCCCAATTGTCTGACATCGGCTCCACTGCCCACCTTGTGGCGAATGGAGCCAGTAAGTCTATGTCTCAGCGTTTGTCTGCCGTCTGCTGTCTGTGTGTCTGTCCCCTTGCGAATGAGTGTTCGCGTTTGTGTGTGTGTGTGTGTGTGTGTGTGTGTGCATGTTTTTGTCTGCATTTTGTGGTTGGCGCAGCCCCGTACGAAAACAGTTTTCAATCTGCATACAAAATCAGTGGCAGTAACAAGCTAAACCAATTATTTTCGTTGTCTGCCAGTCGCCATTTCTCTGCCCGATGCCACCGCGACTGACTCCGTATGTGGCAACGTAAATCTTCTACAGTTGCTGCCAATGCCACGCCCCTGCGCGATTGCTAACTAATGATGGCAGAGTCAACCACACAATTTACACATCGGCGCGGCTTTCAATGAAGTGCTAAGCATTTGAACACGAAAGAATTTGCATATGCGGCCAGCTGCAAAATAATTACATTGCCAACGAAAAGGATTTGCTTTTACCGCAAGTACACTAGGCGGTATAAGTATTTTTCGTTATTTCATGATCTGATCTAATCTAATTCTGTTTTTACACCGTAGTTTGGTTCCAGAAAACTTCGTGTAAAAAAAGACATTGATCATATGCAAAAAGAGGAGATTGTTTCCTTATCTCTAAAACCTTTTAAAATCAGTGAAAAAGCAATGTTTATTTTATTAAATCACATATATAATGTGTATAACGACCCATATAAGAATGGTTTCTAGCTGCGTTTTAATTTATTTATTATGCGTTATTTTTAATTGTGCTAAGTGGGATAAAGTTGAGTAACAATATATAAAATTTTTAATTTTTTAAACCGTTCTAAATTAAAACCGAGTAAAAACATAATTAGGTGCATTTTAAAATTTTTTGGTTTATTTGTTCTTTGGTCGTAATTCCAAGATTTTCCTATATCATTTTTTAGGTTTCTTTTAAATATAACATTTTAATTTTCTCACACCAAACTCTTTACAAGAATTTTTATGGATACTACATATTACATCTTTTTTAAATCACAGATACGATTTGTTTTGCTCCAAAAGAAAATCTTACTGCATGGGCCGGCAAGAACGTGGCCGGTTGAGGAAGGGATATATTGAGACATTTTAAGCATTCCCGAGTCCACCCTAGAACATTTTCTCGCACCTCATTCAGTGTGCTTATCTTCAATAAATGTTAAGTTATAGGGCTGACCCACCAAAACTTCTATTTGATTTCTAAAATTGAAAAAGCAACTGCTTTTTTAAATTGTCAAGTTGTCCTAATCTGGCTTTTTTTTTATCAACATTTTAAATGTCACAAGCTTTCAGAATACAAATTTAAATCTGAAGTTGTTTTTAAATACCTCAAAGCAATACTTGATTGTCATTTAAAATTATCAAATGTTCTTGGCACTTAGCTTTATTAAAATACTTCGGTTGCTTAGTGTACGAAATCACTCGCACATATTTTGGACTTGTTTAATGTGCAGCGTTTATGGCTTCATTAGGCGCAGAGCACACACACACACACACTCACACACACACACACACTCGTACTAACTGTCAAGTGAAGCCCTCGCACACAGTTCAATGTTGGTCCTTTGGCATTCAATGAAGCGGAAATGTCTTCATTATGATTGCATATGCGCGGCGCAGTGAGGCGCGGAAACGGAAGCACGGAAATTCGTTTGTTATTCACTCGCTGGCTGCCTCGCCTAACAGTGAGAGCGGGTAGCCCTGTTGTGGTTGTTGCTGTTGTTGTTGTTGTTGTTGGTTCTCTGTTTCGGCGGCTCAAGTGCGTACGAGCGTGGTAATTTGGACATGAAGCACACACTGAAAATCTCAGTTCACGTTGTTTTCCTGCGATACTCGAATGTGTGTAATGGTTGTAATCGGTGTATATTCCTGTGTGCGTGTGCGTGCGTGTGTGTGTGTGCTTGTGTAGGTCCTCCTCTTCCATGAGTGATGATAGTACTTATATAAACTGACAGTTTATTTGTGCTCACAGACGACGCGCCGGCCTGCCAATGTTTGCTTTCCCCATAATGCCATTTTGATAATCATGTGCGGGTGTGTGGGTGAAGTCCCACAAATTATGAGGATTATATGCGATATGAAAAATTGACTGCGATTTATGCAATTATGTTAACAAAATATTTACTTAAATCATTTATTAGTTCAGCCATTCAACAAACTCCAGGGAAATAATCTCTGTCGCGTCAAACTTTATACGCCTAATGATTAATGGCTGCTCACATGTGATATCGCGAACTTTTCGCATTGTTACTGATTCGGCCATTACAAACGCATTAGCGAAAGTTGTATAAAAATTGCCAGCTTTGGCTTCCAGTTCAATTAGTAGCGAAATGTTCGTCTTACTTCTAACTCTATTTGTGGCCGCTGTGGTAGCCCAAGAACAATCCGAGCAGCAGGTGCCTGCCCGTGTATTGCCATATCGCCCTTGGATATTTAGGGACATCCCGAATATTGAAGATTTTGAACTCGCGGAGGCTAAAAACCAACGCTCTTCGGACTTTAAGCTCTGCACGTACACCGATGAAAGCTACGGACAATGCCAGGCTCTCGTGGAGGCTGCTACTCGCAAGAGTATTGCCTTGAATCTGCAGTGTGTGCAGCGTCCCGATCGTGCGACTTGCTTGAAGGCGGTACGACGTAGTCGTAATATTATTGTGGTTCTCGGTCAGCGGGACTATAAGGCTGCTCGCGAGGCTGGTCTGCGTCCATCTGTATTCGCCCGGGAGCAACCAGATAGCTACTACATTGCCGTTGCTCCAAGCAACATCAGCCTAGTCGAATACAATGAGGCACATCTGTAAGTAAAACATTATCGAGGGTTATCTCTATTTTAGGTTCAGAAATGGTTAAATCGAGATCAATATTTGATAGGTGGATATTACTAAATATTTGTTGAAAAAGTCATACTATCTTTGGAACAAATAATGTTATTCAGGAGTATTATTTTAGGAATTTCAATATCTAATAACATTTTTCTTTTAAAGTGGGTTAAAAAAGGATTTCAACTACAGTTCATTTATTGCTAAAAACTAGTCCAAACTTTTTCAGACTAATAGCTTCTGATACATTCATTTTTATATTTTCTTATCCCAATTCGATTTCTTTAAATCAGTTGTGTTAATTATATTAAAACTAGGGAGTCCAGACATAGTTATATTGCATAATATTTTGATATATACTCTACTGCTTTAATACTTCCACAGTCAGTTGAACATCAACGACGAGGATGCCTTTTACGCGGGTGTGACTTTAAATGCTCTGCGCCAGCGCAACATTTGTCCGACTTCCGATTCAGTGTCCAACGGACCTGTCATACGCATCCTGAACTCGGCTGAATATGTGCCGGCTGCTGAGGATATACTTATCTGTCCCTTTGCCGCCGTCGCTGCCACCGACCAGGCAGAAACATGCAACTTCGATTCTGGGCTTCAACGGGCCGTATTTACATCGCCAGCTGCAAAACGCGGAGGCTTGAGGAAGTTGGGACAAGTATTTGAACGCATTCTGAAGAACTTCAACAAAGAATCCGACTTTAACTTCTTCGAGAATGATTCCATTTTCAAGGTAAGCATATCGGGGCAGATTCTATGATGAATAAGCCGAATATTTCCCTACATTTTAGCACAATACCGTAGCGTTTGATGTCACGCCCACCTATGTGAATGGAATCTCCGAAGAGATTTTCAATTTCTTGCACTGCGATCTGCCAGACCAGCAGGGCAATATTTCTCAGTTTGGCGGCGATCTGGTACAAGTGAGCTTCAAAGATTTTTGGAATGGATTTAAAAAGGGATTGGTTGGTGGCCTCAAGAAAGGCCTTGTAGATGGGCTTGGAAACGGACTTGACAATTTATAAATAACTTAATGAAACACATGAATAAATAATTTGCATACAACATTACTAAAGAGTTACAGCTTAGAAGCCACTGTGTCCTCGAACACACTTAGATGGCACAGTTCACACCCGTTCCAAACCAACTCCAGTATTCAATACAAATTTTATGAGGTGCGCACAATTCAACTCCGCCCCATAAACGAATAGACGGATGGCGGGGCAGTCATCTATAAGTTTTATCCCAAAGAAAAGGCAACTTTGTCATAATGAACAAAGTCGACAATATAAAAAGTTTTTCATGTTTATGACACGCCCATCAAGCAGCTCACTCGGCAAATGTCGAGGACATACTGAGTAGATGCCGGCAGGCACTACACATCAGCGATGTTGTTGTTTTCCATTTTTTGCTCTCGTTGTTGTTGTTGTTTTTTCTGCTTTTTTGAGTGCGTCCTGTCAGAAGCAGTGGCAAGTTTTTGATGTGCGGCCCACAGGACAATCTAATAAACGAGCAAGGCAAACGAAAACTTTCGCTGACCTTTGCGGGCAGACAGGATCGAAGGGAGGAAGGGGACAACACAGTCGGGTAGTGATGAAAAATATACCTTTGAAGGGCAGAGCTCCCCTCTCTCTCTCTCTCTCACACACACACACACAAATTGGAATGAATAATAGAATATCATGAGGCATGAAAAACAGCGCAAATGAGTGTGAGCATGTATGTGTGTATGTGTGTGTGTCTTTGTGTGTGTGCTGTTGTTGGCAATTTTCGTTCTATATTGACTTTGTATTGGCTCCCCGGGGTGTGCGTAGGCGGGACAATCAAACACACAAACGAGGCGAAAAAAGTTGACACATACACTTACAAGATTAAAAAAAGGCAACAGCAAATTGTATATCGACTTAGCCAAATTGAAAAAGCCTCTTAGGTGTGTGGCAGGTGTGTGTTTGAGTGGGCCAGAGTGGGCCTGAATTTGTGTGTTCTCTTGTCCGTGTATGTGTTTGTGTATGTGTATGTGTGTGTGTGTGTGTTTGTGTATGTGTTTGTGTATGTGTGTGTGTGTATGGGTATGGGAGCAGCTGTTGGCCTCAACTTTTGCATCGCTGCGTTGCATATTTAATGAGAAAGCCAACATCGTAAGTTCCCGGAACACTTTGACAGGCGTCCAGGGAGCACGCGAGTGTATCAACTATTGTATTGTTGCCCGAAAGTTGTTACTCTTGTACTCGTAGTTCTAAGTTAGTTTTGGGCGAGCAACTTTTATGCTTTGATTTATGGTCGCCACGTAATTTGGCAAATTGCCGCCAAGCGTTTGTGCGAGCAGTTGGAGGAATTGTGGCGCTAAGTCAGCGTCAATTAATTGCTCCTTATCAAGCCATCAGTTGTCATTTGCTTAATGTGGCTTGACATGAGAGCTAAATGAATTCTAAGCTGCAATTAGTAAATTATTTGCCCGCCACTCAACATTTCTGCAGAAGAACATGAAGCAATACAAGTACAAGTATACTCGCATACTTTAAAGCAGAGCCTCAAAGACTACTTTAACAAATTAACATCGCGTGATTTATGCGGCATTTTCGTTCGCGGCATTTACGCAATTTGTTTTGTGAGCTAGAAATTGTGCCGCATAATTCAAATGCCGTTCAAAAGTCACAAGGCTAAGAGGCCGCGGCTGCGGCATCAAGAAAATAAAAGAAATAAGTATATGACGGCAAAGTTAAACAAAAGGCAACAATTCTTTTGCATAAGCATCATATAATTGTGCACCGAACTGTATTAAACAGGGTCATATGCGCAATTATAAATAACAGCGGAATAACAACAACAGCAACAACAACAACAACAACAGTGCACCACAGCACGCACATACATTTTGTTGTTGCTTTTTTTATTCTTATATTCGTTTTTTTTTTTTGCTTGCCGCTCAAGCGAGCGGTGCTGCTTAAGCAAAGTTTTTCATGAATTTTTCAGAAAACGGAAATCATCTAAGTACACTCGGAAAAACGTACTGGGGTAGGCATTAATACTTATAAGAATTCGCGAAAACTGTTCAACGTTGATTCAAAGACTAAAGAACATTTACCCAAACGGTTGAGGGATGTGATTCAAAGCCTATATATGCAAAGCATTTATATGTAAAGCACATATATTCAAAGCATATATATATTCAAAGCATATATATTCAAAACATATATATTTCTGATCAGCATTATAAGATGAGTCGATATAGCTTGCAAGAGATCTGTCTGTCTGTCCGTTTGTATGAGCGCAAGGATCGCAATAAGCATACGACCCACGAGTACCATCATGGCCGGAGAATGCACTCCTTATTCGCCCGGTATAACTGTTCATAATTTCATTATTTCTTCATAATTTCTTCTTGCTATCGCTTGTCCTGTTCTGGTTGAAGTCCGCAGATACGAAATATATGCAATTCTAAAATAATGCCCATAGATGTATTTGTTTTATTCACATAATTTAATTAACTAAATGACTCAAAAGATCGTACATATTTAGTAGATAGAATTTCAAGATTGTTATTTTTAGTTCATATCGGTAGCTTTCTAGCATTCTTATATTATTTTTTAAAACGATTATTTGTGACGACAACAGCAGGTATAAGGCATTTAAAGAGTTGGAGTAATTTTCAATTATTTACAATTTGTTTCTTACATCAAGTAAAAACTGACAATTTTATAAAACAAATTTGAATTCTCTACGCCTTTTATAGAAATTTCGCGTTTCAATCACTTACATTATCCCTTCGAAAGTTCGAATTTTAGTTTTATTATTGAAATGTCAGGTACTGTTTTAAGATTATTAAGAAAGCATTTTAATCAAAACTAAAATACACAGTTGAACTGTCAACTGATGTTTCTGGAAAGTAAAGTATTTTTGGCGAGTGCAGTCGCCAAGCAACGCCCAAAACAACGCCCGTCATGGCTGTTGCTTCGCTCAAGACTCAAGACCCAAGCCGTGGATGCCAGCGCTGCGCTTACTCGTCTGGAAAGCGTTGTCGACTTGGCGTTAAAAATCCCACACTCCCACTTCCACACGCACTCGCACTCGCACTCGCAATGCTGATTCTTAACTTGTGCGCTATGGCTGTGCATTCGCTTTAACGACTATACATATAGACATACTCGTATCTGTAGTATAGCTTCTTCATTTTCGTTTTTTGGCTTAGCATTTCCGAGTTGCGTTTGTGGTGGTGGTGCGTGTGAGTTGAAGCGTTTGATAATTTGTTTTTTCTTTCGTAATTTTTAGATTTGTTAACAAATTAATTGCAAGTCGGAACAGAGCAAAAGGAAGCCATAATTTTGTGGCTCACTTAATTTATTTATTGCTATTGCTGTCACTGGTTGCGCGAATAGGGTGCACTTCAAAGGCCCAGCTCTCTGGCATAACTCCAATATCTAATTACAAATTACTTGTCCATCAGACACAGACTTGGATACACGCATAGTTCGAGTAGTTGCAATCAAAAGCCACAGTCACGTGTCGTGGCCCTGTGTGCCAGCTAAGAGCCACCCTCTGCTTGAATGATAGCCACCAAGGCAACCTCAACCTAAACGGCGACGGTGGCGCCCCCCCCGCCTGCTCGCTATTTGACATTGCAAATCATAAAAACTGCCAATCGCATTGGCAACACTACACACACTAATCCCGTAATTACAAATCTACGGCTGACTGGATGACTCGCTGGCAAATTGCCGCCACAACAGCCAAACAGCACAAGAGCCATGGCCAAGGGGCAAATTCATATTGGCAACACGCACAGGGTAGAGTGAAAATCAATACGCCCTGCGCTCGCTGCCTCGTTGCCCTTCTCTTTCTCTTTCTCTTTCTCTTTCCCTTTCCCTTTCCCCTTCTCCATCCCCTTCTCCAGAGAGGCCTGCCTGGCCTGCCTGGCCTTGCATTTTCCTTGCCCTCATAATTTTCATAGCATTTCAGTGTGCTTCGACCGTTTTGCTCGTTTATTTCGTATCGGGTTTTCAAATGCCTGCCTCCGCATGGAAGTGGGCGGGAGGGAGAGATGAGGGGGGAATAGGTTTGGTCTTACATGAAATTTACCGATAAGAAAAATGCGCATGAGGGCATTGAAATTTATGCGCAGAATTTATGCCCCTTCACATTTCTTTTTACTGCCGCTTTTCTTTCTTTCCTCTGCTTGTTATAGTATACTATATACTTATATATTTTTTTGCTCGTTTTTCCCGCTGCCGCTTCATTTTATAATTTGCTCGCTGAAATGCAGCCAAGTTGCTCATTTTATCGCAGCCGGCGCTCTGTGGCCTTTTATCGTTCGATATGTTTGCCCAGACGCCAGACGGAGACTTCGATGGGCGGCGGCAACGGATTTAGATAATGTGATTTCCTGCATTATTTTTGCTTTAACTTGCCTTTTCAATGGGCACGGAGCATAGACAGATAACTGCAGCAAGTCAAGTTAATTGGTGTGGCACTTGCATTGGCCATATGATTAGCTAGACTTTGCTTCATTTATGCAAATTTTCTCATTCTGTTATTAAATGCTTAAGTCATTAACAATACTCATTACTTATGCTGTATATACTGGTTGGTATAGGAGGGCACAGGGATAGGGAGAAGTTGTCAAATGGCAGCAAAGCTCTTAAATACCACAAGTGTAATTTGTGAAATGTACTTTGCCGCACAAACACTCAAAAATACACAACTCATGTGTATCTTTTGGTTAGACATTGGCATGCAAAGTATCTCTAAGATAACCACATCAAAAGCCCCAGCACCAGCACCACACTAGCAAAAGCAACGGCAAACGACCAGCAGGACATCATCAGGGATGCCTGGATTCTGTGTGCAATTCGCATTGCCGCATTAATCCAGTTTAATTAATTTAACTTGTCATGCCATTCAAATTTTCCAAATCCTGATTCTGATTCTGACTTTGACTCTGACTCTCGCTGCGACTGCCCATCGCCTGCAACTGCGACTGTGACTGCAATTGAGTTAAAATGTTACGGGCTGACAGGGACAGGATTGAAAAGTGTGAGAAAATGTTGATTTTTTTATTCGAGTATTTTCCCCA